TTTTTCTTATAAATAATATTGATTTTGATGATAACGAAACGGTTGCTGTTGGGTAAATTAACAATATAAATAAATATATCCCAAACACTCGAAATATACACATCGATTACACCCTATCTGAATATTAATAGACGGATTTTCACCAATCAAAAGTTGTGTTTTCGTGTCATCTTCTTACGCACCAGATTCTTTTGTCTTGTTATATAAATGGTTTAAATTTTAAATCGGACCAGTGCGCGATAAATAACCACGGATATAGCGCACACATTGACCCGGGATTTAACGCACACATCAAAGGTACGTAAATTTTAATGTTATTTTAATTCATTAAAGGAAAATTAGTTGATTATGGTCTTGGTAAGTTAATTAATGTCTAATTGATAATTAATCATTTCTATACCAGTTAAGGGCTAAAGAAACATCTGCAATAGGCAGATTTAGTTCTTGCAAAATGCATGTTTCAAGAGCATTGCATGTTTTTCTTTTGGTTTGGTTCCCAATGTTTTATAAATTATTAATTATACATTTATTCATATGACAAACCTATAATTAACTCTCTAGACAAATAAACTTGGTGTATTCCCACGACGGCGCCGTTACAGAGCGTGACCAAAATCAATCCTTCCCCCGAAGACGCAGATATGGACTTGTCGGCTTTTATTTGAAGAGAGGCATGTTGTTATTAGGACCCAATTAACGGTGTTAAAGATTCTATGAATTTATGTTGACTGAATGTTATTCACCAATTGACAACAAATGATCGAAAATCACCATATCATCCAAGTATTTAATAGGAATCTTAATCACCAAGAGACATAAATTTGCCCAAATCCAAAGCCAGCTCTAGGAATTAAAAAGTACGAGATTTGAATATTTAACGATAAAATGGACAATCGAGGCTAACTCTTGACCATCAAGTACCGTTGCTACGATAATAAAGTATCTACGCTATATGTAGTAATATCGGACTTCCTTGTTGTTTCATTGAGTCAGCTGGCGTGGTTTCGATTCCCCGGTTGTACGTGACAAGGAGTAGGGTCGCCTGTTCAACCTCGTTGGTTTTCTCCGGGTCCTCCGGTTTCCTGCCACTGCTAAAGACCCCTACGCGCAAGCAAATTATTGAAATAAAATTTAACAATGTGTGATGGATATGTTTACAATGGTAAGGATTTTACAAAAAAATATCATTGTTTTTTATATATAAATAATTCATTTACTTTCATTAGTCCGTGGGATTTGACTCAATAGAATGTGTGAACCAAATATTTAATTCAAGATACAATATGATCGCAAGGACCATAGTATTACATATATCTTCAAACAGTGCTCAGGATAAAGTTATATGACTGAAATTGTCAATATATTTATTTTTGAACAATTATACATGTAGCAAAAATATATTGTTAAACATACATTATGCAAGAGCTAAATCTACCTATTTATGCCTGAAATGTTATCTAAACTATTAATTAGACATTAATTAACTTATCCAGACCACACTCAACTCTTGATGGCATCGCCAGTCTCCGATATTTAGTAGATTTATATACCTTTGACGACGGATGATTTAACGTAAAATGGATAACCGAGACTTTTGTTTAATATCGTACCGACGGTAGTAATGACATTCGATGCTATGCTAAAATTGAATCAATAATATCTCGGTTCAGGGAGAAACAATTTGACTGAAATTTGCAGCATATCCTGGTTTTTTTTATCTATTTGTTTAACTATTATAAGCAGAATTGTCAGCTCTTTATCTAATCCTGAATAAGACCCCTTAAATGGAAACTGGGACGAGCGAAGTGTAACGTCTCATTCCGGCAATACGTAATTTGACATTTTTTTTTTTCAAAAAAAAGGACTCTTGCAAGTTTTTAAAGAGAGAGAGAGAGAGAGCGAGAGAGAGAGAGAGAGAGAAATGGGGTTTAACGTCCACTCGACACTAGGTCATTTCGACACTAACACATGGTTCAATTTTATTTCAACAATTCGCTTGCGCGTAAGGGTCTTTAGCAGTGGGAGGAAACCGGAGGACCCGGAGAAAACCCACGAGGTTGGACAGGCGACCCGACTCCTTGTCACGTACAACCGGGGAATCGAAACCCCGACAGTTGATTCAATGACAGACGGTATGATACAGCGCAGCGGGCACGTGCTAACCATTCGGCGATCCAACCCCCCAAGGTTTTTTTAAAAAAAGACTCGTGCAAGTTAAGTTGGCGTGAAGTTGTCTTACATTCATGTTGACCATCATGATATATGTGTACTTAGTTTTTCTGTGCCACCCGATATAAGTTCTTTTCTAGCATCTTTATAGCCTCTTTGGCATATTCCGGGTTCGATGCTGGTGGTGGCCGGGAGGGTTCACCAGGATTTTCCGATGTCTTCCCCCTTGTCAGTGGCGCAGGACCTGACCAGGAATAGTGTCTAGTCATTCGGATGAGATCAAACACCAAGGTCCCGTACACAAATTAGTGTGCACGTAGAAGATCCCTTGGTAGTTGGGATTAAAATAAAAGTAGGCAAAATTGATTTGAAGCGATAACCGTAGCAAAACAAAGCATTGGTGAATTGAGAAGTGACGCAAATAGTCAAAAGACGAGGATTCGCCATGACACATTGACATAGGGATGACGTAGCTGCGGGTTAATTAGCTCACAATATTAACCTTTTTCCTTCGGTAATTCAAATTCTAAATCATATTTGTACATATAAGAAAAATAAATAAAGGTGTTTGAGGTATATCTGGATTTCATATTTCATATTTAGTGTAAATGGGTATATAAAATAACTATAAAAGGCGCCATTCTGTCTAGACCAGAACATTGTCTGCGATATCACCTCGGTGGCAGCGGGCGTTAAATAAAGCCATTTCACACACACCAGATACCAGAACCTAGGTCGAACAGGCGGCGGGCCCTAGCGCCCGGCTGATAGTCAAACCTAAATTTACCTACCACACCTAAGACCGTAGCATTTATGGCAAAGCGTGCCAGGCTGTGCAATATCGTCATCTTACACCCGGAGCCTCTCCTGTGGATGAAATTTACCTTGGGCGCTTCCCTGCAAAGACAACGTGTCTTATCCAAATAAGCTGGATCAAGTCTATTTTGTGGCTTCCCCTGACAATTTTCTTAGGTAACGCTTATCGACACTTGGTGGAAGTGGACGTAAAACTCCACGAACGAACGAATGAACGAACCGAACCAGTTTAAATTACTACGTCTTATTATTCACGCTCCATTGAGCCAAGTACCAAAGCCGTGTTATGTGATGTGACATCACACGTAGAATACATTTGATCTTGATATTAGGTAAAGGATTAGGCTGCAGAAGGTTGAACAAGAGTATAACATAATCAGGATGAAATTATAATACAAAAGATGACAGCACCAACTGCGGGATTCGAGAAATAATAACACATAATAAAACATATAACTTACTTATACATTATTTGTATAGAATTCCATAGGTTTGTGCCATTAAAACGGATGCTGTTTTTGTTTACATTATTAAACTTTGGCCGCAGAGTGATTAGTTTGTTATGAATGTTGGTATAGGAAGTTTCATAGAAAGACAAAAGATTGAACAGGTAATCAGGACGTTGCTTAGATAAAATTTTGGAAATAAAGTTACATAAATTGTAGGCATGACGGTTTTCTATTGTTAAAAGTATTAAGGTATTTATTGTTGGGTATGGTACAGTTTAGCGGTATGATCGACATTAAGCAGCAGTTTAGCGGTATGATCGACATTAAGCAGTAGTTTAAAAGCCACGATTTGTCGTCTAGAAAAAAACATTCAAGAAATTTGGAGTCACGGGAGTCCCAGATTGCAGAACATTAACCACAATGTGTCTGAATATAAGCATTATCAAAAGGAGTGCGGTAGGAGAGAGGGGGATATTGTTTAATCTTACGGAGAAGGAAAAGTTTCTGATTTAATTTTTTGGAGATATATTGAATATAGTGTTTCTAAGTTAAATTATGATTTAAAACGACATCTAAAAGTTTAAAGGATGAGACTACTTCTATTGATTCGTTGTGTACAGGACCTCCATAGTTCACCCCAACTCGAAGACGCTCTCCGCTCTGCAAACTTGAAACGGGAATCTTATCGAACCTGGGATCTACTGGTTAGTGAACAAGCACCTTAATCACTGAGCCAACAAACGACGTGATAATATATATAAGTGATTAAAATACTTCAGACAAATTGATGACCAGAGACAGATTTATGACGTATATATGCAGTTAAAGATATGCAGTCGAATATTCATCCACGAAATCTCGTATACATTGGCAGATGGAATTTAGTATAAGGGTAGTCTGAAGGGCCGCTGTCTAGGCAGAAATGCCCTCATAGCACAGTGTATGACGTATGTCCTTCTTCATTAGCCCAGTCGCAGCACAACAGTAGGACGTTAAATTCCATTTCACTTCATTTTATTTCTAATTAATTCGACGGGATGACCTGTATAACTCGCTATAAAAATTGTTGATCTTTAACAATGATTTAAAGAAGATTTGTGTCGAGCACACGTTACCCCTCCCCTCTCTCTCTCCCTCTCCCTCTCTCTCTCTCTCTCACGGATAGGACTCAGTACTCAGAAATTCGAGAGATAAAGACTTTGCCATTCGTATTATTGTATTATTGAGGGCAACTTGAACAACCAGCTTATTATTAATAGCCATAATTTTCAATTTCTAAAAATAAAATTAATTCTCATTACACTCTTGGACTGGATGACCCCCCACCTCCCCCCACCCGTTTCGTTTGAATAGAACTGGAGGGTTTTCTCTGGCCATTGCTTCGAGAATATACTAAATAACCGGGGAAATACCGTATGACCCATAGCGCAACGTTTTAGACCATCATAACATAGTGTTTATGTTGAATGTATTTAATTGTTCCGTGTGAATCCCCTATATTTTATTTTCTTTCAATAAACAAATAATGTTGGGTTTTTTTATCTATTTCCCTATTTTTCAGATTACATCATGTGGCGAGGCGGGGTGCTTTTCGGACTATTCTGTCTGATATCTCGAGCCCCAGGACAATTGTCTCCAGTCAGTGGTAAATTTATAAAAATTACTTTTTTGGCAGAGGAAAATTGCTCCACATTCTTCAAGATGTATTGTTATTTGGACTCAGTGACTAAGACACAAGCTTGCTAACTTGGGGGTCCCGTGTTTCATTCCGGTGTTTGTCGAGAAAGTTCATCTGGATTTTCCGACGCGATTCCCCCTTGTCATTGATGCAGGACATACATTGGCTCGATAACCTAGTGGTCCTGCGTCGACCCTGGTGTTGCTGTCAGTGGTAGGAGAGGGGCTAATGAAGATGGGCATAAGTCATACAGTCTGCTATGAGAAAATTTTGCCTGGACAGCGGAACAACAATCAAATCGTCTATCGGAATGTTAAGGGTTGTTTTACGGGCACACCAATGCGGGAATTCGACTGTTCGTCCGATCCGTAAGACTAGACGCTGTCCATGCCAGGCCCCCTGTTCTACATCACTGACAAACCCGCGGACGTTTCCCGGCCATCACTAAAAACCGATGGAACAGCCGCTTAAGATGATATGAAATTGATGACATTGTTGTATACATGTTGCAAATAAAACAATGAAATGTGTTTTTTTATCAGAAATACCTTCTTCCCAGGCCGGTGACAAAATCAATATCGATGATGGCACACATATTATGTCTTTGACTATGTGCTTAGCTCAACTATCTTGTATGAACGACAGGTATACTCTACGAGACGTTTCACCAGTACGTTTAGAACCGGAATCAAGGTAAGTTAAACTTGTATTTATTATCCCAGTATTTTAAAGGTGTAAATTCTCTCTTCGATATAACAGAATGATTCTTTAATATACCGGAACATATATATACATATATCTTCATACAGTACTGACTGGCCAGTTACTGCACTTAGTAAGAGATCTTAACTAGTGACTGCCTTCAATGTAGTTGTTGTTGTTTATTACAGATTTAACGTCCAATACAATACATATGATATTATGGACAAGTTGATTTAATTCAATTATTTACACTTAAGCATTTAAAAGTTAAAGTTAAAGGCATGCCATTAGTGTTTTCTTGCTAATGCCTCTCTCCAGATAAATGTTACCTGAAAAGTAAAGAAAAGAAAAGGAAGAGCCAGCAGCAACACAGAACAAAGCAATTAAAACAAATTAAAACATTTATAGAAATAATACATGGCATTAAATTTTTAGACATAAATTAAATTAAATTGATTGTTAAGGTTCCTTATTCCTTTTGTTATTATTTTTCTCGCCTTCAATGTTATATTTAAGGAAAATCAGATAATTGGTTAAAAGTAAATGTTGTAATTAAAACTGACGTGTCGATAGATGAACAATGCATAAAAGATTAAACAATATAATAAATCAACAAAAACAATAGATGGTATTAACGTCGTTACCCAACGACTTACTAGCCGGTTGATCTTAAAGTGGTTAATTTAAGAAACATTAATTATCTTAGCGATTGGCAGATAAGAACATCATTATACTTTCCTCTGTTTTAGAAAAGACGCATACGAAAGAAATGATATATATTATTTGTTGAATGATGAAATCAATAATAAATAATATTAAATATTGTATTCCTAAAGTTATAAGTTCAAGCAAGGACTAAAATTAAACAATCGAGCAACAGAGAAACAATAGATGGCACTAAAGTGATGACAGGTTAACGACTTACTAGCGATTGGCAGATTATCACACCATTAGAGTATCACCGATGTAATGATATCTCTCTCTCTCTCTCTCTCTCTCTCGCTTTTAGTAAATGTCATATGTTTATTTTTAGATTGATTCGACCAGCTGTACACATGTCGTCTTGTCCGAACTCTGGTCGTTTGTTCCGTACAGCTGATGGCTCCTGTAACAACATCCAACGACCCTCATGGGGACAATCATTGGAGCGATTTAAACGTTATGTGGATGCAGAGTATGCTGATGGTAATACATGTAATGAAATGAAATGAAATAGGGTTTAACGGCCTACCGTTCTGCACAGACTGAATATACTTCATACAATATAGTTTGGAGATTTTTCACGGCGGCGGCGCCATGGCCTACTCTTATATCGAATTTCATCTGCCTAAGGGATCATTTACGTGGGCGCTAATAATGTCCTGGCAGTGGGGCAGAACAAGAAACCAAAGTCGGATGTACTCTTTGAGATACACGTAGCAGAAGCCTTGTCAGTCGAAAACCGCTGTCTGGATACAATTTCCATCATAGAACAACTGATTGGTGTATATACCTGTATTCATTATCTCAGTTGGAGCAGAACAGTAGGACGTTAAACCCCATTTAATTTCATTTTTAAACATATGTACATGTTGTACATATTTTTTTCTTAGTGTTTAACGTCCGCTTCCACCGAAATTGATATTGCAGACAAGTTGCCTTTATTTTCATTTTTATTATCTTAGCGCACGCGCAGGGGTCTTCCGTGTGGGAGGAAACGGGAGTACATACGCTCACACCAGGAACCAAAACCACAATGACAAGCGCGACAACCTACACCACTAGCCCCCATTTCATTTTGTTTCTTCGTGTTGCAGAAATCGGGGATACTAGAAATTTTGTCAAAATCATATCCTTACTTATCATTTGTTCTTTTGGTTTCTTTTCCAGGAATTGGGGCCCCAAGAATTTATTCCAGTTCTGGACGTTGTAAATGGCCTAGGCGTCGAAGATGTCTATTACCTAGTGCTAGAACAGTCAGTATCAAAGTTCACACGCCAGTTACCCACATGTCACAACACTCGGTGATGCTCATGCAATGGGGACAATTTCTGGACCATGATTTAACTGCATCAGCCATTCAACAACGTAAGTAAAACAAACCACCAGTAGGCCTTTCGTTAGGCCTTAAGTTATTAATTAGACATTTATTAACTTGCCGAGGTCATAATCAAGTCTTGGATGTTCTAGATTTCAACAGATTTAAACACGATGGACGGTTAGTGATTTAATTAAAAAATGGATAACCGAGACTTTGTTCACTGTCGTAACAACGGTAGCAATGACATGCGAGACTCCGCCATTCTCCAAACGATCCTAACGTCTCTCAGAATGAAGTAATTTTAAGTGGCTAAGTTTTTAACTCATTATCATCCACTGTCTTCGACATTTAAAACATATGTTTGTGATCTTACCGAGAAAAGATGTGATTCTGATATCCAATATTTTTAAGACAAAATAAACGTTTTACCATTGGTACACGAATCGTGTACCAGAATGCGTTCTGCGTCATTTGTAACAGGGGACTCGAAGAACGAGGTTAGATATATCACACAAGTCACGTCAATCGTTGACGTCATATTCTTATCTGGAGAGCATGCGCAATAAGTACTACCGATGTATACTGGAAACACCAGACGTTAGAGATTACCATTCGATTGACACTTCTGGCGTATTTCGCCGAACATAACTGATTTGAAATTAGAGTAAAAACAGAAACGATTGAATATAAATCAGTTTATATACATTCATACATTATTATATGCGTTGTGATCCATTTGTGTCAATTTCTAGGTCCCAAATATTAGCGATTCAGCTCCGTTAACTAAATCTTTAAAGATAATCCCTTTTTTGTTATGTAGCTTTTTTTAAATGGTAGAGCTCTTTAAGCATTTTAGTCTCTCTTATTCAAGCAAATGTTCTACGAATATTAGTCTAGATTGGTTGTCAATATCGGCTAGGGTGTCATAAACAAAGGGAGGTAACTAGCCCTAAAACAAGATGTCGACGCCTATGAAATTCATTTAAAAATTGACATTTCAGAAATGCCAATTGCATTGCCAGCTCATTATCCAATACATTATCCAGTGGGTGTGACGTCCACTCGACACATACTAGGTCATTTCGGGACTAACATATGGTTCAATTTAATTTCAATAACTCGCTTGCGCGTAGGGGGTCTATGTAGCTTGTCTCATCCCCGGTGTTTGACCCGTCCGCGTTGCATCATAAGGTATTGTTATTGGTGGGTTCAATGGCCGAATGGTTAGCATGTATCGTAAGGTATGTCATTCAGTCAACTGGCGTGGTTTCGATTCCCCGGTTGTAAGTGACAAGTAGTATGGTCGCTTATCCAACCTCGTGCTTTTTCTCCGCCCACTGCTAAAGACCCCTACGCACAAGCGAGTTATTGAATTAAAATTGAACCATATGTTAGTCCCGAAATGACTCTCTCTCTCTCTCTTGTCCACATGTTTGTCTTGTTGTTTTTGTGTGTAGTGAAGTCATCCTAGAAACGGTTAAAATCTCTTTCTATTCTTCTTTCAGCCGAAGAAAATGCTTCACCGTGCTGTGATAATAGAAGGGCTAAAAAAGGAAAACTTCACCGACACTCCTTTAAAAAGTAAAACATTTATTGTTGTAATTTAAACTGGTTGGCTGGTAAACCAACTGGTGGCTCTTCCCACTGCCTGTTGAACCTCGTGGATTTTCTCCGCCCGCTCCACAACTGCCAAAAGACGCCTACACACAAACGAATTACTGAAATAATATTGAACGAGATTTGTGTCGAGCACACGTTACACCACCGCCCTCCCCCTCTCTCTCTCTTTTTTCTCTCTCTCTCTTTCTCTCACCCTCTCTCTCTCTCTCTCTCTCATCTCTTTCTCCCTCTGTCTCTCACTCTCTCTCGAGTGTCTGTCTGTCTGTTGTCTGTCTGTCTTTCTCTTCTCTCTCTTTCTCTTCTCTCTCTCTCTCTTTCTCTCACCCTCTCTCTCTCTCTCCCATCTCTTTCTCCCTCTGTCTCTCACTCTCTCGAGTGTCTGTCTGTCTGTCTTTCTCTTCTCTCTCTTTCTCTTCTCTCTCTCTCTCTTTCTCTCACCCTCTCTCTCTCTCCCATCTCTTTCTCCCTCAGTCTCTCACTCTCTCGAGTGTCTGTCTGTCTTTCTCTTCTCTCTCTCTCTCTCTCTCTCTCTCTCTCTCTCTGTAGAACATTTACCATCTAACCAAACTTTAGAATATTTACCATCTACCCAAACGCTAGCGTATTTACCCTCTATCCCAAACTCTAGCGTATTTACCCTCTATCCCAAATCTAGCGTATTTACCCTCTATCCCAAATCTAGCGTATTTACCCTCTATCCCAAATCTAGAATATTTACCCTCTACCCCATCTCTAGAGTATTTACCCTTTATCCCAACTCTAGACTTTTGTTGGCCCCTACCCAAACTCTAGCTCTACCATAACTTATTATTATTATATTTTTCAGAAATAAAAGATGCTTTCCAATACCTATCGTTCAAAAACCTGCTGATCGCTTTTTTAAGTCTAAATGTTTAGACTTTATCCGATCTCGCTCAATTAACCCCAGAATAAGTAAGTATGTATAACTAATTAGACTTTATTTGTTGTTTCTTTATAAGTTTACTGAAATACTTTTATTTGTCTTTTATACGTTATGGTATCTTATAAGTTTACTAATATACCTTTACATGTCTATTAAATGTAATGGTTTCTTTGCTAGACCTTATTTTTTTTTATTTTCTAAAGAATCTATTCGCTTTTTCGAATTGTATCATTGTAAAAGCACCATAGAGCAGCTTTTTCCAGCTGGATTTTGGCGCTATATATGTTTATTGAATTATTATTATTATTATAATCAGACTTTGTTGACCCTAGATTCAGTAGCCGCGGTGGCTCAGTGAGTACGACATTAGCTCGCTAACCAGGAGGGAGGTTCGGTGTTCGATCCCTGCGTTGGCCGAGAAAGTTCATTGGGATTGTAGGGTGTGGTTTCTACTTGTCAGTCATGTATGACAAGGGGCCTGACAAGGGACAACATGTAGTTGTTCGGATGGGACGAAACACCGAGGTCCCGTGTACACGTAAAAGATCCATTGACAGTTGGAATTCGATATAAGAGTAGGCATATAGGCCATCTTTATCAACCCAGTCGAGGCAGAACAGTAGGACTTTAATCCCTATTTCATTTCATTTCATTTCATTTTCCTAGATTCAGGAATTAAATAGGGTGGCCGAATGGCTTCACGCATGCGTGTTGAATCATAAGGTATGTCAGCTTGTACTTACCAATGAGTAGTGTCGTCTGCCCAGCCTCTGGTTTCCTACCACAGCTAAAGACTTCTAATCGCAATTGAATTATTGAAATAAAATTGAAACATATGTTAGTTCCGAACAATAATCAAACTTTAATTATTTGGTATTTATAAACGTTCGTCCCAGTATGGGAATATCTCTGATTTACATTCAATCGTTTCAGTTTTTACTCTATTTTCAAATCAGTTATGTTTGGCGAAATACTCCAGAAGTCTAAATCGAATAGCAGTCTCTAGTGTCTGGTTATTCCAGTCTACACCGATAGTATTTATTTCGCATGCGCTCCAGATAAGAATATGACGTCACCGAGTGACTTAACTTGGGGAATATGTCTAGCCTCGTTCTTCGAATCCCTTGTTGCAAATGGTGCTGAAACGCATTATGGGACATGATTCATGTACCAATGGTAAAATTTGTATTTTGTCTTAAATATTGGATATCAGAAGCCCATCTTTTCCCGGTAAGATCACAACATCTTGATTTAAATTAACAAATAATCGTGTTTTCAATGTCGAAGACTTTGGATAATATTGAGCTTTATTTCTTATTTCAGACCGTAGGAATCCACGAGAACAACAGAATCTATTGACACCTTTTGTGGATGGTTCCAATGTTTATGGCAGTGACCAGGAAACACAAGATCGTCTACGATTACCTAACGGTAAGAAATGGACTGAACTAGGGTTAAACATCCAACGTTTGTAATCTCCACTGTTTTAGAATTCCAGATTACATGTTAAATGTACCCGTCAGTGAATAGACGGGTTTTGTTTGAACGGCAAGACGTTCATTGCTTGCCAGTACCTGTCCTGTCCCCCCCCCCCCACACGTCTGGGTTTGTCTTGTCCCATCCGTCTGTAAAAGCGTAAGAATCAAAACCGGGATCTGGTCCATTCGACCACAATAACCCCACGAATTAAAAGATAAATAACTGTCTATTTATTATGGTTTTTATTTCCCAGGTCGTATGAAGACATCGACAGGTGATTTATTACCAAAAGGTAGAGATGACGTGTTAGGTTTTAGACGGTCGACTACTTGACAAAAATAACCCCACGAATTAAAAGATAAATAACTCTATATTTATTACGTTTTGTTTTTCCAGGTCGTATGAAGACATCCACTAATGATTTATTACCAACAGGTAGAGATGACATGTTAGGTGTTAGACGGTCGACCACTTGACAACAATAACCCCACGAATTAAAAGATAAATAACTATATTTATTATGGTCTTTATTTCCCAGGTCGTATGAAGACATCGAAAGGTGATTTATTACCAAAAGGTAGAAATGGAGACTGTATCAGAAAGAATGCACCATTCTGTTTCGATGCTGGTAAGTCACCTTTCCAACATCATTCCCAGATCCATAATCAACTCTCGATGTCATCGCTAGCCTGTGATGTTTATTGGATTAGGTTCCGATTTGCTGTTCGACTTCCATTCATGATTTAATCATGACATGGATAATCGAGACTATGTTTTTATCGTAACGACTTTAGTAATGATGATCGAGGCTAAGCCTAAAATTCAATCGCTACAATCTCGGTTCAGAGTGGATCAATTTGACTGAAATTTTAAGCAAATTCCCTTTACCTTATCTAGTTTTTAACTATTATCATTAGAACTGCCAGCTCTTTTATTTAATCTCCCATAATTTATCTTTAATTATTTGGTATTTATAAACGTCTCTCTCTATCCCTCTCTCTCTCTCTCTCTCTCCCTCTCTCTCTCTCTCTCTCCCTCTCTCTCTCTCTCTCTCTTAACAGACAGGTTTTCTATTTTCTAGGTGACGAAAGGGTACATGTGTATCCCGGATTAACAGTTTTACACACAGCTTTCGTCCGATACCATAATTATATTGTTGATGATTTAAAACAACACAATACAGGGTGGGATGGGGACAGATTGTTCCAGGAAACCAGAAAAATCATCAGTGCCCTTCTACAGGTGAGGGGAGTTATTTTATTATTTTAGAATATTGAAAGGTTTAATAAGAAATTTCATCGAGATATTCCGGTGTGGTTCATCTTTGTCTGTGATGCAGGACCGAGGGCCTGGCAAGCGATAGCTTATAGTCGTTCGAATGGGACGAAACCCCGCGGTCCCGTTGGAATTTGATATAAGAGTAGGCCACAAGAGGTTCGCAAGTCCGTTCGTTTGACACTTTACCTCAACGATCAGTGCCTGAAATACTGTCAGGCTGCATTTCCGGCAATTTGTTTTTCAAAATGTTCTGGTTGAAGCTCGTCCCTTTGCCCCCTTAAACTTGGACTTTGCCCCAGCTTTGCCCCTCCAACCACCGACGACTGACGCCGCCACTGGAGGTGGAGTGCATGGTTTAACGCATGTGCGTTACATCGTAAGGTATGGCATTGAGTGAAGTGGTATGCTTTTTGTTCTATGTCTGTACGAGGTAAGGAGTAGGTTCGCATGTCAAACCTCGTATGTTACCTCTGGGTCCTCCGATTTCCTTCCACAGCTTAAGCGCGTTATTGTACAGTGTAAAGAATCTCTCTCTCTCTCTCTCTCCCTCTCCCCCTCTCTCTCTCTATCTCCCTCTCTCTCTCTCTCTCTCTCTCTCTCTCTATCTCCCTCTCTCTCTCTCTCTCTCCCTCTCCCTCTCTCTCTCTCCCTCTCTTATATTCATTTATCATATATTGTTTTAAATAGAGAATCACCTACACGGAATTTTTACCTGAAGTTTTATCCGATGCCACCATGAATCACTACAATCTAAAGGAGGGAAACGACAACTACCAGTACAACATCAACGTTAATCCAAGTATCGCAAACGTTTTTGCCGCGGCAGCGTTTAGATATGGACACTCTAAAATTCCCGATGCTCTAGTTATAGACGATAAGGTAGTTCCAACTCGAAAACTCTTCAATGATCCACAGTTTATTTTCACCAGTTTGAAGTCAGTTGTTGAAAATATTCTATCCGACCCAGCTCAGCTCAGAGATCGTTTCCTGTCCGAACAAATCACAGATCACCTGTTTGAATCTGCCATGGGATCGTTTGATTTGGGTGCCTTTAATATCCAACGAGGTCGAGATCACGGTCTACCACCTTACAACACCTTTAGAAAATTCTGCAATTTACCTGAAGCCAACAACTTCAACAGTGAACAATTCGAGAAAACGGCTCGAAAACCTCTTAAAAAGACATACAAGTAAGTTGGACAACTTCTTCTTCGTCTTCTTCCCCTTCTTCTCCCCTGGGCCTTAACGCCCACGTCCACCTGAAGTGGTATCGCAGACAACTGTTTCCAAATAAGATTGTTGTCTCGTGTAGGTTGGAGACGGGTGATTGATTAAGAGACCTATCGATTCCATTTCCTTAAACCCCATTTCATTTCATAATGCATGTTTAAAGGAACCTATTGTCAAAGAGAGAGAGAGAGAGAGAGAGAGAGAGAGAGAGGGGGGAGGGGTATCGTCCACTCGACACAAATTTCTATAAATTGCTTGAGAGTAGGGGTCTTTAGCAGTGGGAGGAAACCGGAGGACTCGGAGAAAACCCACGAGGTTGGACAACTCCCTGTCACGTACAACCGGGGAATCGAAACCACACCCACCGGTTGACTCAATGACATACCTTATGATACAGCACGCACGTGCTAACCATTTGGCCATCCCACCCCTCCTATTGTCAAAGAACATTACCTGTATTCAATAGGTACCGTCATCGATGCAAGTGTCATGTGTTCAATACCACATGTTAGACCTAAATGACATAGTTTGTGCTGAGTGGACGTTAAACACCGTTATTTTTCTAGCTCACTGATTCTTTCTAATATATGAAATGAAATGGGATTTGCGTCCAACTTTTCTGCGCCGACTGGGCTAATGAAGACGAGATACGCTATACAATGTGCTCTGGGGGGGGGGGGGGGGGGGGTGCCCGGACAGCGGGGTTACATCCAACTTTTAATTCGAATTGCATGCCAATGTTTACACAGTGCCTCGGTTTTTCGTCCGATCCGAACCACTAGACACTGCCCTAGCCAGGCCCTCCTTCATGGACCACGTCGGACAATGGGGATGAACTCCCCGCGACTCCCTTGTTTCTTACAGTCCACTAGCTTGTACTATGGAGTATCCACCAACAGCCTTTAATGAAAAGCACATTTATTTTGTAGAAGTGTTGATGATATTGATGTATTCGTCGGTGGTATGGCAGAACAAAATGAAAATGGGTCGGTTCTTGGCCCGCTCTTCAATTGTATCTTGGGCAGACAATTCAGCGATTTGAAATGTGGAGACAGTTTCTGGTATGAAACAACAGACCAGAAACGAGGATTCTCGAAAAGTGAGTAATTTTTCTCCCCTCTATGCCACCTGCCTCTGGAGCCGCGGTGTCTCAGTGAGTCAACTCTGCCTCGCTTATCTGGAGGTTCCGTTTTCGATCCTGGTGTTGGCCGAGAAAGTTCATCGAAATTTTCCGGGAAAGGTTTCCCCCTTGTTGGTGTAGATGGATGGCGGGTCTGGGAAGGGACAGCGTAGAGTCCTTCGGATGGGAAGAAAAACGTGTGCACGCAACAGAATTCGATAGAACGGTGGACCGTAGCGCCGCTGTCCGGTCAAAGTTTCCCTCATAGCACACTGTATGGCGTATGCCCGTCTTCATTTGTCAAGACGGTGCAGCGATATAGGACGTTAACCCCATTTCATTTACAAATGGTATCTCGATTCTTAGAAAGGTCGAAATAGTATTAGACATATCCTGGATTCATAGAGAGCTCAAAATATTATTAGACGTGACATCCTCGATTCTTAGAGAGGTAAAAATAGTATACCGGAAAACATGGCTGTACCGATTTTAACGATGTTGATACCACAAATATATTATTATTCAGTCTTTATATGGAGCTCTAGTTTGATCGTATTCGAATAAAATTATGCATAGAAAAACCTATGTATGTCGGGGATCTAAGATTAGACCTTGTTCCCGACAACAAAAGTTTTATAAAGGACTATATTTTAGTCAAAATAAGGCTAACAATTTTGAGTAAATTCTTAAATTAAGCCTGGCAATGCTTTGTGAACTCGTGGCCGGGTGGTTTCTGCTATATAAGTTCAAAATGGATATTGAAAAATGAATATATTGAAAATTTCATTGAAATAATTTATTCTGATCGTAGATAGAGGACTGTTTGAAAATATAGCGTAGATCGTTCATTATCGTTCCAACACTTCGATTGTTCATTTTATCGTCAGTTAGTTTTTTAAATCTCGCGGATGTTTAAATCCATATAAATCTTGGCATTCCGATGTTCTAGAGAATGGATTTTTTTTTTAAACTATATTTTATTCAATAAGAATGGGATTGGGGAACAGGCTAGGCCTATATCATCCCTCTCCTTTCAACAAAACAATATAATTACAATTAGTTTACTTATAAACATGTATATAGTCCAAACTATTCATATTGTGTTATTAATTAATACAATTGTGCAAGTATACAATAATATTTTACAAATAAAAGGTTAATTGATATACATAATGACTATTTTGGTTTAAGGCCTGAAAGTGTACAAATATGTCAATATGTAAACAGAATCTAGAGATGGTAATGATAAATGACGATTACAGTATTTAAAATCTATTACTTAATTCTAAAAAGTTTTGCACCTCAGAAAATATTAATTTATTTTGCTCAAGTGAAATATCTGTAGAGCCGTACAATAGAAACTTTGTGTTGATGTATTCTGTTGGTAATGTTTTTATGGTTTTATTTCGTGCATCTGAATATAAGGGACATATCAGCAAAAAGTGATAAGGATCTTCAAAATTTTGTCCACATCGGCAGGTTGGAGAGTCGGTTATATGTCTCAAAAATGTATGTCCATTTAGATCGCTGTTAGATAAACGAATTCTTGAATGGATGATTTGAACTTTTAACAATATTGTAATAAGAAGGTACCAAGTGATCATGTTTTGAGGGATTTTGTTTAAAAATGAATAACGTATCTGAATTACGTATAGAAGGATCTAGATTGTTCCAAAGTCGTGTAGTTGAAGGAAAGAAAGAATTATAAAATAGACTGGTTTTACAAAAACAGTATGGAAGGTTTTTGTCATTTCTTAATAAGTATTTACTTTGTTTTTTGTTTAAATTATCATAAAGGTAATCGGGGGTTAAGTGGTTTATTATTTTATATAAAAATATCAACTTATGTCTTTCACGACGTTGTTTTAGAGGCAAAATACCGACTTCTTTATATAGTAGATCATGGCTAGTTCCCTTCACAGCGCCACATATTGTGCGTAAAGCATCTAATTGTAATTGTTCTAACTGGTTAGCTAAGTAATCCGTGCACCCATCCCAAATAATGTCAGCATAGTCAAAGTGTGGTAAAATATAGGAAGTATATATTGTTTTGAGTGATTTCCTTCCTAGTCGATACTTGAGTGATCTTAAGCAGTTGATAAATTTTGAAACTTTTCTATATGTATGTTCCATTTAAGATTGTTTTGAAAAATAAGCCCCAAATGTTTGTAATGAGATACTTCATTTATTTTAACCGTGTTCATGCAAAGTGGACTCGAATCGTGCTTAGATGTGGTTGAGAGTGGATTATAGCCTAGTCATGTAAATAAATGCCTAAATAATAATTAAAGCCAAAATAATTACCTACAATATAAAGATTTAACTCTTGCATAATTCTTCTTTAATTGGTGAAAAGAAACGTTAAAGAGAAATATGGTTTCTTCATTTTAATTTCCAGATCAACTTAAGGCCATTAAGAAAGTTTCTTTGTCTAAGATCCTGTGTCAAGTTTTTAACTTGGCTAAAATCAAAAAAAATCCTTTCCTGCACAAGTAAGTTTTTAAAGTTATACCGAGATAGTTAGTTGGTGGTGGAGTGTGCAATCTATTCAATAGTGGTAAATTCCTTCTTTTAAATCTACACATGATGCCTGATCTTTAACTTCACGTGCAGCATCGGTGAACGTGTGATGTTACATCCTACCTCCATAGAAGGGTTGAGATGGCCTAGTGTAATCTGTTTCACAGCTGCAAATGCAAACGCCAACTTTTAAATCTATACAAGTTTTAAGTTCACGTGCAGTATAGGGTCACATCATCTCGGTTACTTTCGATATTGATTGCATGTCGGACCGTAACATCCTGGATTACGTCCCCTTATTGGAGGCCTACGAAAAATTGCTTTCTTCGCGTGTCCTCATGCATCTGTTGCAAATTTCTGGCGTATCTTGCGTGTTTTATAAAAAAAAAACATGGATATAATTTAACAAGATTTAAATTTATTATATTTTTATGTTTTACAGGGGCAAGAAAGTCAGATGTAAGAAACTGACAGGGTTGGACCTTAGTCCCTGGTATGAACATTAAATGATTTAAAGCAACTTTGCTAACGACGTTGGATGGCTCCATAACAATAACGTTGCGAACGACGCTAACGTCTATAACAACACCACTGATGACGTCATATTCAGCATATCGTACTGGCTTCCATGTACATTTCTATAATGATCTTCTCATCCAATAAATTATTTTATTACAATTTCGATTCGTTTCGTTTGCTTTTCTCATCTTTAAAGGACAATATTGGTGTCAGTTATTATTACATATGTGACAGAACTAGTTAAACACATTTCAAATATAATTTTAACACAGAGATCAATGTTACAGTAGATGTGTAATGAAGGTTTCTACAAAAGGAAGTGACGAGCACAAAAGGAAAACACGAGTTATCCTTCTATATAACCGACTGAAGTTTAACTGACTGGGGTTTAACGTTCTATTTATCTACACCGACTGCGATAATATGGACGGGAGCCATGTCTTGTTTTGAATTTCAACTGTCAAGGAATCTTTTACACGGGACCTCGGGTTTTCATCCCATCTGAACGACTGGACACTGTTCTTGCCAGGCCCTCGTTGGGTAAACCGCGCCTCCAAATTATAGGAAATCATAGTTTTTTACGTTTCCACAATTGGGCACCGTCCAAATATCAACTTCAAATAGTCGCCATTATTCCCTAGCTTATTGTCGTGTCCATTTTGTAAAAAATAAAAAAAAATACGTTTATGACTTTCCTTCTTTTTGATGGATTTATTTGTGATTTGTTTCCATAATTTCTGAAATCGATAAAAATATATTTCTGACTAAAATTCAATTCAGCAAGGTGTCAGACCATTGTAATTAATATTAATAATCTAAAACATGATTGTGTTTCATCCTAGACAGAAAGTATTATCAACCGCCTGAAACACGGCCTTGGTTCACCTGCAGTATATAAAGTCCTGATCCTGATCAACACAGGACAGGATCAAAAATGGAAGAATAACGACAATAAGCGGAGAGTATTAAGTACCATTATATTGTATTTCCTCCTTCTAGACGTTTAAAGCAGGCTTCGCCATGGACGGTGGATGGCGAGCGCTGATAAGAACCCGCATGGTGTAATAACAAGTCGGGAGAATTAATTGAAGTGTTACCGAAGCTTCAGTGGATTTCTCTTTTAATAAGCATGACCTACAGCATGAGCTATATTGACTAAATAGCGGGAAAATTGAGTACAAACAGAATTTCCGCTAGATGGCGTTTATTTCCGCTTGATGACGTTTTAATTAGACTTTCAGACATAATTTCGTCAGCTTTCTTGGCATCTCCGGTGTTAATGTTTTCTTTATGTGTTGCTTTGACAGAAATAGCTCCATTCAAATTTTTCAGAAAGGTTCCATCATCAGACGACTTTACGGCATATGGAGTTAAAACTGTTACGGAATTTTTACAACAGCGGACGACTTTACAGATATAGTGCAATCTGTAGCAGGATTTAAAAAAAATCACCTTTGGGTTCACATCTCCACGCAGGGTTCTGATATCACCGTCAACAACCACCCTTGTGTTCATAACTCCAAGAAGGGTTTTGGTATAACCATCACCAATCACCCTTGGGTTCACATCTCCATGAAGGGTTTTCGTATCACCATCACCAGTCACCCTTGTGTTCACATCTCCATGAATGGTTTTGATATAACCATCACCAATCATTCTTGTGTTCACATCGCCATGAAGGGGTTTCATATCACCATCACCAATCATCCTTGGGTTCACATCTCCACGCAGGGTTTTGATATCACCGTCAACAACCACGCTTGGGTTCATATCTCCAAGAAGGTTTTTGGTATAACCATCATCAATCACCCTTGGGTTCACATCTCCATGAAGGGTTTTCGTATCACCATTATCAGTCACCCTTGTGTTCACATCTCCATGAATGGTTTTGATATCACCATCACCAATCATCCTTGTGTTGACATCTCCATGAAGGGTTTTCGTATCACCATCATCAGTCACCCTTGTGTTCACATCTCCATGAATGGTTTTGATATCACCATCACCAATCATCCTTGTGTTGACATCTCCATGAAGGGGTTTTGTATCACCATCACCAATTTCATTTCTAATCTGCTGAGTCGACCTTCTATAATGACCGTAATTCAAGATGCTGAGTGTTATCTTATTCCTGGAACTGGCAGCAACGTGGAAGCGATAAAAAAGCAGCCATAATCTCAAAAATTTAATTTCGAGAATTCTTGATGGTAGAAATTAAAATTGGTGGAATTTTCATTAATCGTCATTTCTTTCCGTTGGGTATGACTTGTAATATGTGGTACATTAATCCCGAAATGACATAGTTGCTCTTAAATGAATATATTGTTAACGCGCTTTAAACATCTAGATGCAATAGACAAGGTGTAGAAAATTCAAGCTACATTCAAATGTTGGCAATACAAATCTAATCATAGAGTTTAGTTATAAACTGTTAACCACCCGTAGATGTTATAAATCACATAATTTATTCAGCTCGAGGCAAGATTTAAAATGAATAGATGCGGTTCGTTTAACTTGAATGTAGATATTATATCATGGATATATAGGACCTTTCGGTTGAATCATATCATAGGAATGTCTTATTTGCATAGTTTTACGTATTTGTCGACATTAAGGTGTACGTGTTCTATAGTTCTATTTAGCCTACACATTTTCTTGTTTCACTTGACTTAACATTGTGTAGGAATGTAGGCTTTTATAGATTAAACAAAAAGCTGATAAATGTTGAGATGTGTGGAACATGCTCGAGGCGATTTGTAACAAATCTCAGGCACGATATACTCTTCAAAAAAGTAGGGGATATTAAAATGCAAATACCTATGCAGGTTGTAATATGACAAATAGTCATGGACACTAGACATGCTTTGAGACGTACGTAACTAACGTACGAAAATTAATTGGTGGCTAGCTTTTTTTTTCGCACGTATACAGTGAATGGCCATTTTGCCCAGTAATTCCAGCCAGAATTTGGCTATTTTCTAAATTGACGTTAAAGTTTAAAATATTTGATTTAGAACTGAAACACATTAACTATTAGTCAATCCCAACGCTAAAAACATCAACAGAATTGATTGTGTATATCTGAAATAGACACGACCGACGCACTAAATAGTGCAATATATTTAATAGCGCTTTTATCTGGTGTATCTTTCATTTCATTTTCTTATGAATTAGACTATATTATTATAACAATAATGTGCGCATTTTGTTGTATAATAATAATAATAATAGTTTGTTCAGCTATACTTTTCGTGTAAAATATGTATATTTTATCTCTTTTTCGTGGAATTCTATGAGATATCCATCCACATCCCTGTCATTGGCAGCCAACTTCGACACAGCAGTATGATAGGACATAAAATAGAAAGTGAGTAGGTACAAATACTTGGGACCCAAGGTGGCGTCTTTGTACACTTGACGTTATATTTTCATGACGTCATATGAAATTTCTGGCTTCACAGTTGTCGCAACTATATCTACATACGGCGTTGCGTTGAATAAGTAATTGACGTTGATTTTAAGATAGAGTTCTAAAAATCTGCTTTTAAATTTAACAATTTCGTTAGAACTCGATCGTTTTTTTTCTTCTATTTCTCAATTAAGAGAACTTTCACAGAACAAAAAAAAATAGTATATAATTGGAAATAAACGGGCTACAAATATATTTGATAAGCTTAGTCCTTGTGTGTGTCGTCCGTATATAAGGTCCCGAAATTGGTCAAAAGAAAAAATAATTACAGTAGCCCCTTAGTTAAACATCCGACCCAAAACAGTTCGTAAAAAGTTCTCATGTCGCTTGTACGCAAATATATAACGCACTAAACTCACTAGAAAACAAAATATGTATAAAATCCAACTCATATAATAATAATTTGTATCTATATTTGATATGATACTAGGGTGCCATCCACAATCTCCCACCCTACAATGGATGTCAACAAAATAATTCCCATAACACTGAGTAGAATATAGATCCTATTGCCTATATATTATTGTTCGCCGATCGTTATCTAACCGGAAAGCAGTTTCATTCAAGTTCAAATCATATTATGATTATTGATTTTGTTAATATCCTTTAGTGAAATTTGTGGGTGCTTACTTGACTCTGCCCATCCTTAAATCCGCGCCCCCCGAGAACCATACATGGTATCAAATGTATTCTTTTAAACACAATAAATACAGCATGAATATAATTGTGAGTTACCGGGGTTGAAATGCTCCCAAACAAGCCACCGGATGTTGACAGAGTTAAAGGCTTGGTTAAAGCGGAAATTGTAGTTTAAAATTTTAATTATGGATTTCATCAAAAATGGACATGGTTTGTTTGTAAATTAAGAATTAAACCAGTTTCTGTAAATATAGGCCTACATATAATATGTAAAAGGCGTCGACTGAGTAGAACAAAGTTGGTGTGGTTTTTGTTAAATATAAAACTTTCATAATTCAGTTTCTCAACTGATACAAGTAATGTTAAATAATCTCGTTTTTCCGAATTGATTTTAATTTAGATCTAAATTGTTTGATTAATTTTGTTTAAAAAAAAGAATTAAAAAGTAGGAGAATTATATTCATTGACGTCAAAATGTATGACGTCTTGGGCGAGATTTGGTAAGTTGACATGCGCATTGCCGGTTTTCCCTGTGTATCCGGTTCCAGTCTGATTTGTTTTTATCAACAGTCTGCGAGTGACAATTTTAATTACGCTCCTGTGTTATGACCTCCAGGGACAGAACCACGCCCAATTATTGTATAAGAACTTTAACACACCATCCACACAAGTTTTCATCTATAGCATTTTGAAGTATCTACACAGAAGTACATGTGTAACGGCACCATGGTAAATATTGTGGTTGTTTTTGGATAATTAAGAGTGACAGGTTAGTTACTGAAGGGATATTTCGAGGCCCGAATTGTCAATCATTGTTCATTTATTTAAACATTAAAGAGTTATTTTATTTACTTACAGGACCAGAAAAGAAAAAAAGAAACAGAGGATATAATTCAACGTGTTCTGAATGAGACAACAACCAGCTTTATAAATTATCAAAGAGAACAAGAAAGATCATATTTTGAATTCGAAGAAAAAAGAATGAGAATGGAGGCAGATTCAGAGAGACTTAGAGAAGAGCAGAGACGGGAGGATCGACTTAGAGCTGAGGAACAAC